AGTTGGATTAATACAGCTATACAATATTGAACTCAGTATAAACCCTGTAAGACATAAAATTGAATGAGTTTTTAACCTTTAAAAAAGGTCTCCATTTCATTTTAGAATATATTGTTCCTTGCTGAAAGACTCATTGCTTTTGCTACTAACACTGAGATGTTGGCGCATGCATACTTGGTTGCACTTGGATCCTTGGTGCCTGTGTATATCTATAAAGTCATCAGGTAGATTTCAGTGGTATTGTTTATCACCTATACTAATTAGCATGATGTAAATTTCCATGCTTCCTCCTCAAATATAATATATTTTTAAAAAAATTTATTGATTTTTTTCATATGTGAACATCCCAAACCATCTCATTGGACTATATACCCACTTCCCAGATAGCACCCTCCCATTGCCTCCCTCCTCCCACTAGAGCCCTTATAACTCTGATATGCCTACCACTGTCTGCTGTGTTGTCGGCACCCCCAGCCATTCCCCACTGCATGCCCTTCTGGTGAATCTAGTCAGCTTATATCTAGAGGTCTTTGTTTTTGGAGGGTCAGCTGTTCCTCATCTAGCAGTAATCAGTTGTCAATATTTCTTTGGGTAAGATTGGGGTCTGCTGTGCATTTTCCCAGTTCTATGCTCAGTTACTATCTGGGAGTCCCTTTGGCCACCCTGGCGAACAACTCAAAAGAAGGTATCACCTGTCTGGCATTGTTGCTTGTTATGTAGCCTTTAGCTATGCATATGGACTCTTAAGAAATTATATTGGCCCCTTTAATCTTTGGTTATACTTTCCTTCTCAGTATTTAAGGCCATACAGTTGGTCCAGATAAACTAATTTATTGTTACTCTTAAGGTCATTTGAGGATCTGTTCCTCACGGGTCACATGGACTTGGGAGGAGCTCCTGGCTCCTTTCTTTTACCAGTTCCACCTGTGATGGTAAGTCAAAGGTCCTGCTTGACCATGGTTGGCTTCGCTTGGAAGCAGGGAGGAAATCATTTCTCTGTGTTGACCCTCCTCTTTGTAGACTGGACACTGGTTCAAGTCTATCTGATGTGGTCTCCCCGGCCTCCTTGGTCAAGAGAACAGGTGACCCACCACCATTATAGGACATTTTGAGAGATGCTCAAAGTCCCCTGGAACTAGTCAACCTAGGAGGGTAAGGAGCAAAAAGTGTCCTTTATGTCCCTCTGACCAAATTATTATACCCCTCAAAGTATGTCTGTTAAACACCCAAGAAGGTTAGTTCCACCAGTCTGGTATTTTTAATT